CCCTTTTGGGGCCACTCAGATGTCTAAATGGAAACAAACCAACAAAAATGTTCTGACTGTGACAAAATTGGCCTATTCAGATGATCTGCCCCCCCACCCCCGTTCCATAATTCCCCTGAATTATTAAATTTCCTTTGTATCTTGAAAGCTTTGGGAGAAGAACCAGTATATGGCGTTAGTTTGGTAGACAGTGCCTTTGTGTAGTACTCAGTTCACGCCAGGCTTGATACTATACTATTTCCTGGAGAAATGATGATGTCCATGACTTCTGTCTGCTCTCAGGAGCAACTGTAATGATTATTTTGCTTCTGGATAAAGGAGATAGTTGATGTGGTAAACCTCCCTGCTGTTTGGTGGTGGGGTGTGTGTGTGTGTGTGTGTGTGTAGGGGGTGGCAGGGTGGGGACAGGGATTATGGATTATAACCTTAAACTATGAGGATGACAGCCTTAAAGAAGACTTGAGGGTAATTAAAAGGCAGATACTAGGTTTCCCTTCCCTTCAAAGTATATTCTTAGGAAAGTTACTAAGTGAGGGGGTGAGGGAAGAACAGCTTCAGCTATAAGATTGGTCAGAGCACTATTCTTGAGCCTATTAGAAATAGGAAGGAAATAAGACAATAGAATTTATAGTGACAGGTCTTTGTTTTTTCATTGTTCTTTGCTGAATAGAAATCTACAACAATGTACATGATTACTAATATATTTTTAGTTCACACGTGGTTAATCCCGTTTTTAAAAGAGACTTAGATTTGCATTTATATAGAAGAGACTTCTCAATGTGCATTGGGGTGAGGGGTGATGTGATGGGGAGGGAAATAGATTTACCGTACGTGTAGTTGCGTGTCTGTCTTTTAGTGTAGGAGGTGAGTGGGCTTTCCTGGTGGGATGGAGGCATCAGAGCTGTCCACACAGGAAGTCTTCCCTGAGTGCTGTCCACACAGGAAGTCCTCCCTGATTGTGGTCCACACAGGAAGTCCTCCCTGAGTGTTGACAAGCCCTCTTCCTGCTGGTGCCCACACCCACTCCTGCAGGGAGTGCAGAGAGGCTCTGCTAACAGAGCCACCCATTTATTCACCACCAACTTTATTTTTCTATCACTTTAGGCATGCGAATTCAGCCTAGTTAAATGTTATTGTGAAAACTGAATTAGCTTGTTTTCCCTGCCCTTGGATAGATAACTTGATAGGTATCTTGTTTACCTGACCTGAAGCAGTGAGATTAGGCCAGAGAAGGCTGAGCTACAGACTCCTAGGCTCTTGTGGGATGGGTCAGCACTTAGCTGTGGTCATTCAGCCACCCAGTTCCTTAAATAAATAGGTTGAATTTGTGAAAATTGTCCACATACTTCATCCAGGGGGTGGAAGGTGGGGAGTGTCTTTTCAAATTCTAGGGCAGCTTAGGGGTTTTTGAGAGGCAAAATGTAAAAGGACAACCAGTGATGAAAATGGAGTTTGATAAAATATTGTCCACTTGTAAGCTTTTTTTTTCTTTCTTGTTTTTTTTTTAAGTCTGCGGTTCATGCTGTTGAGGCACTTGACTACAAAGTGTAATTGCTTTAAATTGATCAGGGTTCTGAAGTGTAGATAAAGACTTGTCAGTGTTTGTGTTTCAATCTGGGAGTGAGGGTGTCATTCTTCACTGGTTAAGTGGAGCCTTCCTAAAATGGTGACTCTGATGTTCGGCTGTAACGTGCTGTAGCTTTCCAAAATTGTTTGCAGAATTCTTTTAATGAAAAGATTTATAAGGTCGAATTTTAAAAACTGACCTTTTTAAGGGTTTTGTTAAAAAAAAAAGCACAAGTTGACTGTTGCTCATTAAATTAACTTAAAGGCACCTTGGAATTTTTTTCTTAAAAAAACTTAGCCACCAATGGTATTAAGTGTCATATTTCAGAAAAACTTCAATTTCATAATTTAAGTTGCAGGAAGAATGGGCACAGAAAAATGAAATAATATTAATAGTTCATTTAGGATATAGACAGTGTTTTGGGTGCCATTCAGAGTACAGATCAAGGGCTCTGGCTTTGTTGTCCAGCAGATCTGAGTTCAAATTGCAGCCCTGCCGCCTACTAAAAGTGTGACCATGGCACATTACTTAACGTCTCCTGAGACTCAGTTTCCTGATCTGCAAAATGGGAGAACAATAATGCATCTGTCTCGTTTGGATTAAGTAAGATGACGCATGGCACAGTGTCTGGCACATATGAAACATGCAGGATATGACAATAATCATTACCCTGCTCTTAACAATTATCATTAACCCATTCTGAATATTTTGGAATAAACTCCTTTATTGTGTTTGCATTTTCTTCTTTGAACATGAGGAAGTCTTTATCAGGATTTAAATTTTTAATTTCAATGAGTTCTAAAAACTCAATCTTTGATCTAAAAGTTTCTGTACCAGAAAATGGAATATGGACAACTTGGACTAATTTAATGCTTCTTGTCTTTAGTCATCACCTATTTCTGAGAGTTGATAATAGGATTCATTTGAATTTAACCTTGGTCACCAGGACTCACCAGAGACCAGTCACCCTCCTCAGGATGCATTCGGGACCTCCCTTCTCCCAGGGGGGATCGGAATACTAGGAGATTTCTTTCCCCCAAAGAGTAGGTTAGAGAGAAAGTGGGGAGGCACAGACTGTATGTGCTCCCCACCTACTTCCAGCATGGGAAAATATTGCTGTCATAAATATGGAGGCCGGTCGAAGATGCATTCCATCAGCTATGTAGATCACGGCTCTGCTTCTGCCAAATATAGATACATAAATAAAAGCCTGCTCCTTCATGCCCAGGAGATCTTCAGATAACTCACACATCCACATGTTTCTTTTCATTGGGTAAGTCTATGTCCGACACTCCACTTTCCACCCCAGAGAAGAGCAGAGGTGAGAGCTGAGGCAGACTTGGGATGCAGTCTTTCAGATGCCTGCTGGTTCACTTTCTTTGGGTGGTGTCATCCCACTGCAAGGTGGGCATGGACCCAATCCACAGCTTCTGTCAGACCCCTGCAAGGCTTACCCAGGTGACCACGTTTCGTCCCCCGACTGCAGCGCTGAACACACCAGGTCCTATGGTGAAAAGCTGTGTTTGAGGCAAGCACAGGCTCTCGGATGTGAATCAGAGGCGAGTTAAGAAAAACTACAGTCTTGCCTAGATGTCTACAACTGTCAGTTGTTTGTGTAAATCGAAGGCTAGGGACAGGGTGGCAATATATGTGTTAACTTCCCAGCCCCTCTGTTCTTCACTGAAGTGAGAAATAGAGGGTGCCTTGTTGATGGCAGGTTGCAGCTAGCAGTTATATTGAGTGACTTTGGAGAAGGGACACAGACCTCTGTGTGGCACAGCTGGGAGGTCGGAGGTGCCAACAGTGGCAGAGCAGGAGAAGGGCTTAGTTTATACCTGGAAAGCTGTTTTTATCCCTTAGAGACAAACCAGGGATGAGAGGAAAGGATTTGAGTTCAACTGCTTATTAAGGGCATAAATCAGATAGACTTGATAGGATATGATCTCAGACAGGTTTTGTTTGGATTAAGCTGTGCTGATGTTCCTGGTTCAAGTTCAGCCTTCATTTATACATTGACTGTTGTTAACCCTTCTTGCACCTCTCCTTTCTGAAAAAGAATCCCTTGAGATAAAGGGGTGTTTGGACTCTGATTTTAATTTAGCAAGGGCGCTGGGCAGTGAGAAGAACCATCTTCATAGTATAGGCCATGAAGAAATGGTTACATGTCTAGATTCATGAGGTGCCCAGTGCCTCAGGGTACTGTGGAGTTAGGGTGGCCGTGGCAGAAACTGGGTGCAGAGCCAGATAATCTGTCCTGGAAAGTTGAGTTTGCTGACAAGGTCAGCAAGGTTATATTTATTGCAGGGGGTCTACGTTTTGAACTTCCTAAAGTGGAATTTAATTGTGTCCTAGAGATGCCTCATTTTCTTGTTTATGGTAGTAAAAATCAAGCTGTAAGATTTGAAAAGTTTGTTGAATGTCTAGTGACTAATTTTACATCTTCAAACTGTTACTCAGTGTCAGTGATGCCCTTGGTTAGTCTATTTATTATTTAGAAGATGTGAAGTAAAAACAATTCCTGTCCTGGTGTGAAACTGCAGAGCATTTGCTGTGAGGACACTTTGGGGTGTGCTGACTTCCATGTCAAACTGAACCATTTAACTTCCTCAAAGGTCATGTGTGTGGCATAGGGACAGAGAACTGTGGTTTCTTTCGATTGGTTAACAATTATCTGATGTGAGTACATTTTCAGACATTCTTCCTAGGTGGCTGCCGACTGAAACCACACCGAGCCTGGCTTGCAGGCTTTGTAAAAGTTACCTTGGTGGCTGCCAGGCCTGGGAAGGTTTCCAGCTTCTACACCATTCTCACAGGGGTTAAATTTCACAAGGTTAGCCAGAGCGAAAGGTAGCCGACCTGTGAATCTCATCCAGATGTCTCAAGGAAGCCATGGGCCTGTCTTAGAACTAGGTGAAGTCTTCCTTATTTGAGCCTCTTGACTGAACTCTAACCTTCTTACACTTGAAGAGTAATCGTTTTTTTTTAATCCCTAAGAATCATCTCAATAAAATTGTCAGCAAGTTTCAATCAAGTGTCCTTCAGAATTTGAAAACCTTTTCAAAAGTCCGGTGATTTCTAAATGACTGTAGATTAAAATGATATTATCAATAACTTTATGCAAGTTCGTTTTGAGTATCAGATGTGTTCCTTAAAGTATGTGAATAAAATCTTACAAAAACTTAGTCCTGTTTCAGGTGTAGGTAGAGAATATTCTGCTGAGTAAAATCCTATTATTCATGTTGAAGGAGAGGGTATTTTTGTAGAATGAACAGATCTTTTTTAAGGTGTAAATTAAAATCTGCGGTAAAGTAGCTGGAGATAAATCTGTATGCATATCTTGGTAACTTCGCCTCGGTTGGGAGGTCATACAGCCTCTGAATGGTGCCGAATGGGTTCTGTCTGGCGTTCTAACGCTGCCGTCTTTGTTTTCCAGCAGTCTCTGGTCCCAGCCCACCCCATGGCCCCTCCCAGCCCCAGCACCACCAGCAGTAATAACAACAGTAGTAGCAGTAGCAGCTCAGGATGGGATCAGCTAAGCAAAACGAACCTCTATATCCGGGGGCTGCCTCCCAACACCACAGACCAGGACCTGGTGAAGCTGTGTCAGCCGTAAGTAGAAGTCGTTCTTGTGTTTAGCTCCTAAATATCTCCTTGATCATATTACAGAGTGAGATAAATTGTGTTATAAGAGAGGTTTAGTACAAGACAAATCTGGGAATGCTCATTCTGGTCACAGTTGACAGGGTTTCTAAGTTTTGAGTCCTTGGATGCTTTTTCAGTCAGCATTATGATCAACAGAATGCCTATATGATAAGATAAATTGGAGCATTTGCTCAGTAGAATTTGACTTTATTGGCGCATGAGAAGCAGGCTATGAATTGTTTAACAACACGGCTGGTTCCTTTTTGAGGAGTGCTCATATTTTGTGGAAGCACCTCTCGGGGCCATTCTGTCTCATCATAAGAGAAACTTTCGTTGTCACCGTTTGTCAGAAAGGTAGTTACCGTCTAACTTAATCCTAAATGGGTATAAACGCTAATGCCAGGGGGGCAAAGGTAGTCTGTCTTCACTCACACCTGTAGTTTTGTGGTCCGGGTTGTTCACGCTCAGCTCTGGGCATTCTTTTTTTTTTTTTTTAATTTATTTATTTTTAGCTGTGTTGGGTCTTTGTTGCAGGCTTTCTCTAGTTGCGGCGAGCGGGGGCTACTCTTCGTTGTGGTGCGTGGGCTTCTCGTTGCAGTGGCTTCTCTTGTTGTGCAGCACGGGCTCTAGGCACGCGGGCTTCAGTAGTTGTGGCACGCGGGCTCAGTAGTTGTGGCATGCGGGCTCTAGAGCGCAGGCTCAGTAGTTGTGGCACACGGGCTTAGCTGCTCTGCGGCATGTGGGATCTTCCCGGACCAGGGCTCGAACCTGTGTCCCCTGCATTGGCAGGTGGATTCTCAACCACTGCACCACCAGGGAGGTCCTCAGTTCTGGGCATTCTTATGCCCAAAGTTCCTATTCCTCTTCTCACTGCCCCCCGTGCTGTGTCCTGAGATGAAATGTGCATACATGTATAACTTTGTTCCAAAGGAAATTTGCATTATATGCTTGTCGATAAATAGAATCTAAGTATGCTACTTTGCTGCAATCACATTAACTAAGGAAGAAAGCACCCGTTTAAACCAAGGAGCCAGAAGCACTGTACATTGCAAAGATCACAGTGTAAAGACTAAAAGCCTCCAATCCCTTTAAGCTATAAAAGCCTACACGTACAACAGCCTCTTTTATTTTTCCAAAGACAATCGTGGTCCCTCACAAACAGAACTTTATATAACTGTGGAAAAGGACGTCCACTAAAGAATGTTTCCTGTTCCCTGAAAAGTATTTCCATTTCTAAACACATGATTAATAGCATCTTATTTTTGTTGTACTGGGTAAAGTATAAATTTATTACTTCTTGCTTTAAGAAAAAAATTTTTTTCAAAACTTACTTGGGCAGCGTTTGCAAACTGGAACTAAAAGTAACATCTGGCCTTCCATCAGGAGCGCTGGTGGTTTTGCTCTGTCGTGTTTTTAGAGAGGAGGGTGGGACACTGGGAGGTGGTTCGTCAGCATCTGGAGAGCCTTCGGAAGGCCGCCACCCTCAGGACCCTCCCTCCGCCTTTCCCGTGTTACCCTTCTGATCAGCCCCTTTGGACTTTGTCTGCAGCCTTTGCTCCCAGGGCAGTGAAATAATGTCCTGTGCTAGGGATGACTTTGAAAGCAAGTCCAGCTCTTGGGGTTTGTCATGCCTGACCGGAGTCAGATGGAATTTTGCCAGGCACGCCCTGCCCCGTTGCAGCTGTTCAAGACCACAAATAGGCCTTTTTGCTATCTTGTCTGCTGTTGACCTCTACAGGCATCTTCCTCTGCTTTTGCAACATAATTACAGGTAGACAGAGCACCTGAAGTCTAAGGAGCTAAAAATATAACTTTGTAGGACACAAAAGAATGAAATGAACCCTCACATCCTTGAGGTGTAAGAGAAGGGGAAAGGATTTCAGAAGACAAATTGTTCCTCAGCTAGTTTTGAATCCTGTAAGGTGAGTTGTAACATTAAGGGGATAGAGTTAAACAACCATAAAATACTAGAGTAATACCATGTTTTATATGCAGTAAATATGTATTTGAAAAATTAAACCAGCAGTTTTTTTTACTGAGTCAAATCATATTCCAAATGCAGCAGAAGAGCATTTGATCATCTTTCCTGAAAAATTCATTCCTTTGTTGTTGGTGGTCTCTTTGACATACGTGGATTTTCTCAGCATGTGTAGACATCAGTCTCTTTGCTGTTATCAATAGCAGCAATAATGGTTTGCCACTCACTCTCTCCCATCATTTGCAAAACCCCAGGCTTGATATTTAGCTCTGATGATAGTTTTCTTTATGTATTATACAGAGGCAAGACATACAGTAATAGAGAACTCTATGTCAATATCTGCTGAAAGCTTTGTTCCATTTAACACAGAGCATCTAATAAGTACCAGATTTGTCTGGTTGACAATTTTGTGTCTTAAAATGTGGAGAGAGCAAAAAGGAGCATTCCTGTTCCGGACTTAATTGTTTCCAGTAAAGAATAGCTAGTTGGCCACATGGAAGTGACAAGAACCTTATGGAAAAGTGACTCATCCTAGAGCTTAAAAAACTGGACATAATTAGAAATTTTTTAGAAAAGTTTCAGAAGCTTCTCAGCAAAGATAGGTGTAAATTCATAGCTCTAAAAATATATATATTTTAGAAATAAAAATTTAGCAGTGTAATTTACAAATTAACGTGAAGTGTAGGAGGGGCAACAATTGAAACAAGTAATTTGGGTCTCTAGGGGACTTGGATATTTTAGAGGGTTATGTAACAGAAAAATGGAAGAAGATACCTAAGAATGTTTGCAACAGGGACTTGATAACATACAAACAATGCGTGAAACCTGAAGGCAAGAATGACATGAGGATTGTGAAAACCGGAGAGGGAGACAGAAAGTATTTTTAAAAAGCTATGTTTGGAGTAGAACATACAGATGCTATAACGTTAGAAGAAATGACAGTGAAAAAGCAGATGTCAACACAAGAGATGGCAGTGAAAAAGCAGCCTCAGCCCAAGTCAAAGAGGGACTTGGGACACTGGAAAGTGTAGGTCAACATGGCTGAGGGAAAGGGGGCTCACACTGGAGGGTGGTCAGTTTCGGTGACTTGAAGGACACTGGTCTGAAGGACTGGGCAGGGATGTGACAGTGGTGATGGTGGTCAGGTGATAGGGAGTGAAAGGAGATCAATTTTCTAAGAGGATTTGATGAAAGAAGCTGACCAGCTCTAGCGAACTTCCGCACTGTGATGTGTGTATACATAGGAAGTCTTGTTGGGACCTCGTGACCACTCTGGCTGCTGCAGCTCTGCACCCTATTTCTAAAGTGTTATCTGCTCAAAAAGACATCAGTCCAGTTAACCAGCACATTTAGGAAATGGAATGAGCTGGGTGACAGAAAGGACTCATCTTTTACCCCCTGACCTTTAGATAATCTTCATTCTCCGCCTTCTCTAAAAGCAAGCCAAACAAAAAAGTTTGCCTGACTGTGTTGCCCTTCCAACTTCTCTGGCAGATTTTCTAGGCAGATGAGCCGACGACTGTTGGTGCTGCCATTTTCTCACTACCTTAACCCTTTGCATTTTCCTTTCAAGTTTCAGCTGAAACTGCATGGCATCTTCCATCTCCCTTATTTCCTCTGGCTTGTTTTCACTGTTGTCCACATCTCCTCAACTCCTTGCTCTTTTTTTTTTTTTTTTTTTTGCAGTACGCCGGCCTCTCACTGCTGGGGCCTCTCCCGCTGCGGAGCACAGGCTCCAGACGCGCAGGCTCAGCGGCCATGGCTCACGGGCCCAGCCGCTCTGTGGCATGTGGGACCTTCCCGGACCGGGGCACTAACCCGCGTCCCCCGCATCCGCAGGCGGACTCCCAACCACTGCGCCACCAGGGAAGCCCAACTCCTTGTTCTTTTGATTTAAGTTTTCTTGGCTTGTTCCTCTGCAGCCCCATCCTCTCAGAGGGTTAGTCTCCACTCTTTCCAATTTTCTGCAGATTTTTCCACTTGAATATCTTACTAGCACCTCAGATTCAACACTATCTCCTTCCTCTCCAAACCGTCATTTTTCCACATTTACTCTCCCCAGGTTGAAGCTTTGGAGCAGTGTTGGCTATTTCCCATTATCCTCTTAGTCACCAAGCCCTGCGGCTTCTTCTTTGGCCTGTCTTCATTCTCAGAGCCGGAAGAATTGGGTGGTTCCTCCCTCCCTCCCTCCCTGAGGGGTGACAAGCGAGAACCGTTTGTTCCTGCTGCTGCCTCCCCTCGGGCGTCTCCGTTGCCCTTTCTTTTTTTTTTTTTTTTTTCTGCGGTACGCGGGCCTCTCACTGCTGTGGCCTCTCCCGTTGCAGAGCACAGGCTCCGGATGTGCAGGCTCACGGGCCCAGCCGCTCCGCGGCATGTGGGATCCTCCCGGACCGGGGCATGAACCCGCGTCCCCTGCATCAGCAGGCGGACTCTCAACCACTGCACCACCAGGGAAGCCCCGTTGCCCTTTCTTGATTTTCCAAGGTCGAGTCTAAGCTCCCCCTGCCTCCTTCATGCGTGGACCACACTAACCTCTCCTTATTTATTTTTATGCATCCCCACCTCCCAGTCAGCATCTTACTTCCATACATTTCTGTTCTCCAAGGGCTTGTTACGTAGCAGCATGTCTGTGACTGTGTGTAATGCTGACAGCATATCATCTTCACAGATTTCTTACCTACAGTATAAACTCATGGTGGTCAGGGTGGCAGGATTTTGGTGCCCCAGAGTTACCTACCACAGTGCTAGGCAAGTGCCTTATTCTCAGTCACTAGCCTGTAAAAGGGGTCAAATAATGCTTATATCATGAGGTTGTGATTCGAATTACATCAAGTAATATAAGGAGAGGAGCTGGTCCACAGTCTAGGCCATTGAGCAAATATTAGTCTCCCCATGCCTGAGCCTTTACTCCTCAAAATCCTCCTCAAAATCCTAACTACTAGAATAAATTTAAGTTATATGTAATCCTACATTTTAAATTAAGGAGAAA